CYYCCAATGCACCCCAACRTYCCAATGGSCTTTTTCTCCCCAGGACACCGATGGGCAGTGACAGCTCGCTGTCCACCAGCGCTCCGGGATCTCCTCCTCAATTCATGCCCATGGTAACGCATCTCCGGGTGGATTTTCGGGCAGGACTCAAGCACTCTGGAGGAGATCTAGGGATCTGAAATCGCCCCAGGGTCCCTCCTGATGGAGGCCAAGGCCAGGGCTCCCTTCCTCTCTTTCCCCCAGCAGGAATCATTCCCCAAATCCCCGTCATTGCCACCTTCCTTTGATACACATCCACCCGGAGAGACCGAAATACAGAACAACAAAACAAAGCAGATCCTACAGAGAATCAATTAGGCTGGAAAAGACCCCTGAGATCATCGAGTCCAACCTACAATCCAAGAGCTCCTTGGGAGGTCAGCAGGCACAATGGCCCAGRATGATCTTGTTCTAATTTTATTCTTCATCAGAAATGTGGCAAACTAATTAAAACCCATGAAAATGGGTAAAACAGCACCTGGTCTTGCACTGGTGACATGGGGGACAGGCACAGGGCCGTGACCTGCCATAAAAAGGAGCTCAGCATCACAACAGAAGGACAATATTCCTAGGAATCAATATAAAATAAATTTCCCCTTCCATTAAGTCTCTGTCCATAAAAAAACATTTCACTGTTAGTTAGCACCCACTTTAAAAAATAGAATCGGTTGTTCTCCTGGAAAATCCGTTTCTCCTCTAGCATAGTTCCTTGTGGTGTCATTTACAATACAGTAAATTTAGCTCTTAACATTGTCATCATTGCTATAAGTGAGTGAAGAATAATTTAAATATTTGTTGCCATTTTTAGATACGAGGCCCACCACAAAGAAAGGCAAAAGAGAATCCAGACCTGAAACATCAGAGCCTTTAAAAGGACATTGGAACAACACTTGGAGTCAAATTGGGTGGATGTGACTAATTCTTATCAAGAAAATCTAATTCTGATGGATAATTCTTGACTAGGTTTAAGGTGCAATTATAAAGACAAGATTATCGGTTACAGATTTAAAAACTCCACCAAATCATGATTTTAGAAACTGCTTTAGCCCAAACCAAAGCAGGTCAAGAGTACAAAGTAACTTGGACTTCCATTATTTCTAAAAAGAATTWAAAAACTACAGCAATCAAAGTTCTYTTGGTTAATTAAGAGTWATRTAYCCATCCACAGMAGTTMCTTTTGTAGCTCTACCAAACTGAAGATTAATTTCTGCAGCTTTGAAGTCATCCCAGCCACATCTATTTTTTAATTTTTATGGAATGAGTGCTTAGAATCATGTCACAAATATTCTTTTGGAATTACAGATGCAGTCAGGTGTAATTGTCCAGACTGGGCAGGARTGAGAGAGGAYTTSAKGTCCCTCCCAACCCAAACCAGTCTGGGATTCTGGAATTTTCTGGGATTCTACATCCAAAAATACAAATCCAGGTCTCTGCAGATAAAGTGAAAGCCAAGACTGGGAACATCTGTTGGATGCAAAACCCACCTGATATTCCCTGGTATCTGAGACACTGAGAATGTGTCTGTGAGCTCTTAGATAAGTGGCTGTTTAATGAAAAAGAAATTAAATAATTAAATGTTTCCTGCAAGGGATGTGGAACCCATCAGCTGCTGCATATTCCATAAAAATCGTGGATAACCTCACAACCTCATGTGAACAACACACAAACAACACCGTTCCCTTTTTTCCCTGCTGTTCCCACTCTTCCTGCTCCTGCTGCTGCTGCTTTTGTTCCATTAACACCCTGAGATTTTGAATCCAAAAGATGCAGATTTCATTTTCAACACCAATAATTAGTCTGGTGATGATCACCCAGATGCTCAATCACCTCACAAATAAGCACTGCATCCTAAATACACCACAAGTGCCAAAAGGACCTCCTTAATCCTGTTTTTTCCTATAAATTTCAGYACTTTTGGCATTCCCTGTGCACCATTGCATGACATGCCCAAACATGGSATGTTTCTTTACTCCTGTTCTTCCATCCAGGCACAAAAACTCTTTGCCAAACGTTTTCTTTCCAAGTGGGACCTGCTGGCTGCTCCTGAGTTYCGTTATGATGGATTATCCCAGGATCTGCCTGGTTAGCGGCTTCTCCTCGGTTTTGTAACTCAGTGGCCCGCAAATAAACACTGAAAAGGTGRGAGAGTTCAGAGCTATAACTTACAAAGGGAGTAACTCCTCCAAGGAAATCATTACTGGGCTCTGCTGTCATGGGCTATTTCGGGACCTCTGGTCTCTGCAGCTGAATTTAAAACCTTTGTTGCCTAATGCATCATTAGCAGATCACTGTGGTTGTGTTTAAAGGCAGCAAAAACCCGAGTAAATATTAAAATAAACACCACAAGGCAAAGCCAAGTCCTTGAATAATAACTGAGAACAAAGGAAAATAAGATCAAACAAATACAAGAACAGTTCTGCTCAATAAATGCCCAGATATTCCCAGGGGAGCCTCTGCAACACTTTCTCCCGAATCAATGCCCTCCCTGCTTTAAATCACCGTTCTTCCCACACAGGCTTTATTTTCCCTCATTCAGCTTCAAATTCAGTCATTACTTACTGGCACAAAGTGCATTTTGGCAATTTTAGTATTAAAAACCATTCAAATGTTCCTTGGATTCCTGGCAAAAGCAGCTCCAGCCCCACATTCCTACCAGGAATGTTTTTATTGGCCAGCCCATGAATGTGCTGCGAACGGTAATTCCAAATCATTCTGTCTCAGATTCCCTAAAAGGACCAATTTTTTAAGAAGTGGAAACTGTTAGTGAGAGTTCACAGTGAATTATAAAATCACTTCCCATCAAAAACCAGGGAAATCATAAATGCTGGGTGAAAGCTTTCCATAGGGTAAATCCATACATCTCCATTCCTGGGTCTGGCTAATTATAAACCTGGAGAAGTTTGCTGTGATTGAGTGAGGAGCTGGGATGTACTGGGAGGGAGCAGGCACAGAACCAGAACTTTGTTTGGATAAGATAAACCAGTCCATGGTTTCTCCCTGCCAGCAGAGCCTGGAATTTCAAACACCCCCACAAGATTTCCCCTTAAAAACACTGTGACTTGTTACACATGGAAAAAAACCTCGTCCAACATGGAAAACTGGCCTGAAGGAGGTAATGCAAGAGAAACTTCCCCAAAAAATTTATGAGGCTTTCAAATGTTCTGCCACTCAGTTATAAAGAGGTTTCCATAGGAACTGTCACCCAGTGTTTTGTGCCTGACTTCTCCACGTTCATACAGAGTGAAATAAATCCATCCCCTTCCTGTTTTCCAGGTTTCCTGGCTGAGGATTTTTGCCTTGTTTGTGAAGTTTTCCTCGGTCCAGCTGCAAAGGAAATAACCCCATTATTAAGGCGGTTGTTAACATTAATTTGCAGCAATTAGATCATGTTGTTTAATTACTCAACTTTTAATCTTGCATGTGATTTGCATATATTATGCCAAGAGACATATTGGGAGCAATTTCATGGAAGCGTCAGAATGTTGGAAAAGCAAAAAGAAGGATATTAAACTCTTGGACTGCATTCCCAGTTTCCTGTTGCTGGTGCCAGCCCATCTCGGGGTGTCTGCCCCGTTTCATCAGCTCTGAGTGCAATGAAGAGTTTTCAGGTTGGAAAAATCCAGCAGCGTTGGCCAAACTGGAAATCCTCGGCAGTCTGATGGTCCAGCGGGATTTAAGGAAAGACCACCAGTCCTGTCAGGAGCTTGGCTGCCAACACCTCTCCCTGCACAGTTTTTCCTGCAAAGTGCCTGTGGAAAGTGCTGACTTGGCAGTTTGGAGGCTGTTTATGCACGGAGCTGTTGCAGGGCCAGGTGAAGTTGGGCTGGAAGGATTCCTCCTGCACTGAGCCTTGGGCCAACAACACATTCCCTGTCCTCCTGCTGCTGGCCCAGGAGAGGCAATCCCAGTGCATGGAGGGCACTGCTAAACTGGTGGATTTGCCAGTGCCAGCTCCAAAAACCTCCAACAAGCCAGGATTGCTCCTTCTCAGAGCAGCCCCATCCGGTGATCCCAGCATGGAAACCAGCCCAGGGCTCATTTTTTCCACAGTATCCCGATGAGGCCACCCTGAGCTGAGGAAAAACTCCAGATCCAAGACACGTCCTGCCTCTGCCATCATATTTCCTGCTCCTCTGCTCACAATGCTGCTGTTCCAAAGGGATCTCGTTGATCCTGTGGGATCTTCTCAATGTGGAAGCAGCTCTCCTGCTCTCCTGAGGTGGAACCATCCACTCTCCTGAGGTGGAACCCTTCTGCACAAGGGCTGGCACTCACCCCAGCAGTGTTTGGCACCTCACTAACAAGGCAG